CAAGACCCAAGAGCATGCAGAGAAGTCAGGTTGTGCTGACCAACAGCCCTTACAAAAGGGAGAAGTGATGTCTGTGAATAGTCAGGAAGCAACGTGTCCATTAAAGCGATCAAGGCAAGAAAAGGGAAAGACTTCATAATACTAACCAGCAGGTATCTTCATATGACTTAGAGTAATTAATGATCTTATGCATTATGGGAACTATTCATTTTGTCAAAGTAATAATGTGTTGCTGACCACACATTATTAGACCACTAGGTGCCATGAACTTTTGGATTTCTCTTGCCAACAGTGCAAGATGATACCAGGCTCTAAGTAATTGATGTTATGCTGCCATCTTTTGGTTAAATGTAAAATGCTTTTCTTACAGGGGCGCCTGGGTGGCTCAGTTGGTTAAGTGTTCTGGACTTAAGCTCAGGTCATGATCTCACGGTTAGTGGGCTCGAGCCCTGCACCGGGTTCTATGCTGACAGCTTGGAGCCTGACGTGGGGCTCAAACTCATGGACTGTGAGATCATGACCTGAGCCAAAGTTGGATGCTTAACCCACTGAGCCACCCAGGCACCCCTATTCTATTTTTTTTCAAAGACTTTGTCTTAATCAGTGATACTTAAGACTTAGCACTTTTTTTCATTGTCATACTTTTCCACTGTTTTTCTCTCAAGTATTATAAGCTGGCAGTAGATTCCCTTAATACCATCCTTAGATTTAGACGAAAGGGACCCACACACTAGGCTTTGCCATTTCATGGGCTTCATATGTCGTTCGTGACCCTCTACATGCACATGCATGTGTATAGGCACACACTCAAGTGCATGTACACATGCACACACACGACTCTTTTTTTTTTTTAATGTTTTTTACTTATTTTTGAGAGAGAAAGAGACAGAACGTGAGTGGGGGAGGGGCAGAGAGAGAGGGAGACACAGAATCTGAAGCAGGCTCCAGGCTCTGAGCTGTCAGCACAGAGCCCGATGCGGGGCTCCAACTCACGAACCGCGAGATCACAACCTGAGCGGAAGTCAGACGCTTAACCAACTGAGCGACCCACGTGCCCTGCACACACAACTTTTTGTTAAGAATACCTAGTGTCCATGTCACTTAGAATCTCAAGACTGGGGAAAGAATACTCAGGAAGGAATCAGCCTCGGTGCTTGGGTGGCTCAGTGGGCTGAGCGTCAGACTTTGGCTCAGGTCATGATCTCACTGTTCCGGAATTCGAGCTCCACGTCAGGCTCACTGCCGTCAACCTTTCAGCGTAGAACCCACTTTGGATCCTCTGTCCCCCTCTCACTGACCCTCCCCTGCTTGTGCTCTCCCCAAAATAAATAAATATTTTTTTAAAAGGAATGGGCCAACTATCCCCAGGGTGGACACAGGGCTGGGAACATCTCCTGCTTCCATCAGCCAGAGTGCAAAGACTTCCTAGTACAGGGAACAGTGAGTAGAGTCCTTATAAGGATGGTCCCTTGGTAGTGAGATGACATTACCCTAGACTACAAAGTCTGCTCCATCCATGCTACCAAAGTTTAAAAACAAGCCCCAAACAAACAGATTCCAAGTAATTCAACTATGTCCTAAAACAAAGCCCGGCGTATATGTAGGGCTTAACAAATCCAGTACCCATGATGTAGAACTTAGAATGTTCTGAATCCAGCCAAAAGCCATCAGGCATACAAAGAAACAGGAAAATAGGACCCATAAGCAGTAGAAAAGGTAATCATGAAACAAGGCCCAGAAATGACACAAATGACAGAATTAGCAGAGAAGGAAGCTTAAACACCTATCATAAACAAACCACATAAGCTCAGGAAGATAGGAGAAAAGATGAACGTGATGAGGAAAGAAATGAAAGATATCAAAAAGGAACAAAGTAAACTTCTAGAGATGAGAAATGTACTACCTAAAGTGATAAATATACTAGATGGGATTAACATTCAGATAAGATAAAGCAGAAGAAATTATCACTGAACCTGAAGACATCGCCATAGAAATGATCAAAAATAAAAGAGAAAAAGCTAAACGAACAAAACATCAGTGGCCTGTATGATCATACTGGATGGTCTGATATATCTGTACTTAAAGTCCCAGAAGGAGATAAAAAATGTTGAAAAAAATAAGGCCTGAAACTTTTCCCAATTTAATTAAAATTATCGGGGCGCCTGGGTGGCTCAGTTGGTTAAGCGCCCAACTTCAGCTCAGGTCATGATCTCGCGGTTCGTGAGTTTGAGCCCTGCATTGGGCTCTGTGCTGACAGCTCAGAGCCTAGAGCCTGCTTTGGATCTGTGTCTCTCTGTCTCTGCCTCCTCCCTGCTCATGCTCTGTGTCTCCCTCTCAAAAATAAGTAAATTAAAAAAAATTATAAACTCACAGATTCAAAAAGCTTAGGAAACTCGTAATAGAAGATACAAGAAGAAAATTGCATCAAGGCGCATTATCATCAAATTGCTGAAATATCATGGTACAGAGAAAACCTTAAAAGCAGTTGGGGAAAGAGAAGACATATTATGCAAAAGAAATAAAATTAAGATGACAGCAGTCTTCTCTTCAGAAATCGTGCAAGCCAAAAGACAATGGAACAACATCTTTACAGTACTGAGGGAAAAACTATCTCAACTTAGAATTCTATACTCAGCAAAAACGTATGTTCAAACTGAAGGCAAAATGCTTTTTCAGACAAACAAAAAGCCAAGAGAATTTGTCACCAGCAGAACTGAGATACAAGAATTATTAAAGGATTTAAGAATAATAATAGTTATTCAAGAAAAATGATAGCAAATAGAAATTTAGATCTACTGAAAGGAAATGAACAGCACCAGAAATGGTATGTTGGTAAATGTATGATAATGAGTAAATATAGAAGAAAGGTTTCCTCATTTAAAAAATCTCTTTAAAATGTATAATTGACTATTTAAAATAAATATAGTATCAATGTTTGTGGGGTTTAAAACACATGAAAATGTATAACAACTAGAGCACAAAGGATGAGTGGATGGAGAAGAGTATATTGTGATATCCTTTAAGTCATGTGTAATATTATTTGAAAGTAAATGGTAATATGCTAAATAAAGATATATATTTTAATATTTTTTAAGTTTTTAAATCTATTTTGAGAAAGAGAGAAAGCACACGAGCATGGGAGGGGCAGAGAGAGAGGGAGAGAGAATCCCAAGCAGGCTCCACGCTATCAGCACAAAGTCCCACATGGTGCTCGATCCCACAAACTGACCATGACCTGAGCTGAAATCAAGAGTCAGATGCTTAACCAACTGAGCCACCCAGGCACCCCAAAGACATATATTTTACACCCTAGAGAAACTACTATAAAAATAAAGTGGTATAGCTAATAAACCAATAGTGGAGATAAAATGGAATCATGTTTTGTAATCAATCCAAAAGAAGGAAAAAAACCATATGAACAATTAGAAAACAAATAGCAACATGGTTAGATATAACCCTGCTATATGACATTAATCATACTTACATACTCACATAAATGTAAACGTGACAAAAATATATAGCCATGCATAAGACAGAACAAGAAAAGTGTTTTTAAAAAGGTATACAATGCTGTGAGGATCCAGAAGACAGATTATAGCTTCGTAAAAGAAATCTACATCCTAAAGAAGTAACCTTTAGTCCTTACACAGACACATATTAGAGGTGAAGGAGGTAACACCATGGGTGATATTTCTGAGAGAGAAGACACACACACACATACCTCTGCTAGGTGTATTAAGGAAATAGTGAGTCATTAACTTTATCTGGAATTCAGTTTCCCTTACCTTATATTTGGAGCAACAGTGGGAGATAAGATTGGTAAGGTAGATTGAGGGCATATTTGGGAGGACTTAAAATGTGGAACTGGGTATTTGTAATTCAAGAGGCATTATTAATGTAAAGAGAGTAGCTTTGGTTTACCATAGTTAGTGGTACCCTAGGGAATGTACATCAGCCAACTGCCCAACCTTTTCACATATAACTTTATCATTTATAATGATTACATGGCATTTAATTATATGGATATACCAACATTTATTTAACCATTTCCCTATTATTGGACCTATAAGCCATTTCTAATATTCTGCAGTTGTAATAACTTTATAATGACCTTCTTTTGCTAATTTTTTTCTCATTCACATTACTTTCATAGGTTAGAAACTTAGATATTGAACTACTTTAGTAAGATATAAAACAATTTGGGATGCCTGGGTGCCTCAGTCTGTTGAGCGTCCAACTCTTGGTTTCTGCTCAGGTCATGATTTCATGGTTTGGGAGTTGGAGCCCCATGTCAGGCTCTGTGCTGACAGTGAGGAGCCTGCTTGGGATTCTCTCTCTGCTCGTCACCTGCTCTCTCTCTCGCTCTCTGTCAAAAATAAATAATGAATAAACATTAAAAAACAATTTTAGATTGCTCATACATATTTTAAGGTTAATTTGCTCAAGCATTTGCACAAATTTACAGTTCTACTTGAGTTTTTAAATTTAGTAGTCTGTATAGATTTTAATTCCCTGCCCCCGCCCCGTCCAAGCACGCTATAGGTGCTGCTAAGCCTCTGATAAATATTACTCCATGAAAGAGTACTCCTTTAAAAAAATACTCTCAATAAAAGAACTTTAATAAGCTTGACCAAATATTTAGAAAGCATATTGTGTTGAGTGAAACTTTGTATCTAATACATAATAAGAGTAATAGAAAATCATATTGGGTGACTAGTCTGTAATTATCCAAGGAACACATACAATGAAACAAGTTCTTTTGGTTACTTCATTAAACAGCCAACACAATGGGGAAAGTGGAGGAAATGTCCCATAAACACTATGAAAAGGGAACCAGAAAACCCAGTATGTAATCTCGGAGTAATGACAGCATCAGAAAACAAAACCAACAAAAGAGAACACCTTCCAGAACAATCTGAGCTGCATGAAAGGCAAACATTCACTAAAGTTGGAGCTTTCCTAAGTCTGCCCAGAGATAAGTGGCATATTTGACCTTCACCATGATTAACAAGCATTTCTTTGAAATTGTGTCGGTGCTGTTGGCCTCTTCTACTATCTTCTCCCTAGAGTTGAAACTGGCTCTCTTCCAACAAAGAGTAAACAGAGAGAGTTTAAAACTCTTGAGTACATTGCAAAGCTCATCAATTCAGCAGTGTCTGCCACACAGGAAAAACTTCCTGCTTCCCCAGCGGTCTGTGAATCTTCGCCAGTACCAGAAAGGACAAACACTGGCCATTCTTCACGAGATGCTTCAGCAGATCTTCAACCTCTTCAGGGCAAATACTTCTTCAGATGGTTGGGAGGAAAGCCACGTGGAGAAGTTCCTCACTGAGCTTCATCAACAGCTGGAATACCTAGAAGAACTCACAGGCCCGGAAGCAGAGCAGGACAGCTGCACCTTGGGGAGTGAGAACGTTAGGTTACAGATTAAAATGTACTTCCAAAGGATCCATGATTACCTGGAAAGCCAAGAGTACAGCAGCTGTGCCTGGACCATTGTTCGAGTAGAAATCAACCGGTGTCTCTTCTTTGCACTCCAGCTGATAAGAAAGATAAGCAAACGAGGAATGCATTCCTTGAAGACTGTGGAGCATGAGCCAAGGGCAGACTTTAGAAGCATAGGGTAGGTGGAGGGGCGGGAGGACTGTTCCAGAGACTATTATTTCTTCTTGTCATTAATTGCTTTGGTTTCGTGTGTGTAGATATATGTATATTTACCTGTCCTTTAAGATTATGCAGAGTGACTACAATGGTCTTTGTTTTGTAATGTCACTTTGTATTTTCCATTCATCTTAAATTTTCATGAGATAAAATAGATTCATCAGTATTTCATACTTGGTTCTTCAAATGGGTTTATTTTCCTCAAAGTAAATGAGGTATGTCTCCACCGAACTAATTTCTTAACTTACCACATCCATTCCAATGATTTCTTTGCCAGAAATTGGTAGAAACATTAAGAAGTACAAGGAATAATGTGCATTGCCAGACTTGAAAATGTCAATACACACTGAATATCTGTTACAGGTGACACAATAGAAATATGGCCAAAGGTCATGAACAGCAGATTGCAGAGGGAAAACAAATGCATGAAAACAGGTTCAACCTCACTTATAATGATAAAAAATACAAATTAAAAGTGAACAGCATGCCATTCATAACAGCTGAAGGCCCACACTTTTGTGGAGATTTTGGAGAGGGATGCTCCTATAATTTGCCAGAGCACTGGAAATTGGTTGAATCGCTGTAGAGGCAATATATCGATATCTGTTACAATTACCGTCTTTGAGCCATAAATTTGAAATTGATCTTATAAAAATGCTTGCATATGTGTCTGATGGCGTGCATACAATACTGTTCACTGCAGCATTATTTATAATATCAAAAGACAGGAAACCACTCAAATTCTTTTAGTTTGAGACAGTTGAAGTATAGTCACACAAAGGAACACCACCCAGCTGGAGAACAGAGTGAGGATGCTCTTCCTATACTGAAAGAAAAAAGTAAAAAACTAGGCAAGATGCAGAACAGTGTGTATAAAATGCTGTATTTGACATTAAAATGTAAAACAAGGGGTGCCTGGGTGGCTCACTCGGTTAGGCCGACTTTGGCTCAGGTCATGATCTTGCGGTTCGTGAGTTCGAGCCCCACGTCGGGCTCTGTGCTGACAGCTCAGAGCCTGGAGCCTGCTTCGGATTCTGTGTCTCCCTCTCTGTCTGCCCCTCCCCTGCTCGCACTCTGTCTCTGTCTGTCTCTCAGAAATAAATAAACATTAAAAAAAATTTTTTTAATAAAATGTAAAACAAATTTTCTATCTGACCTAACTTGTGCATGAACAAATAAAGAATATATAAGAATAAATTACGATGATAACTTGTGTTTTGGGGAAACAAGACTAGGGGAAGAAGCAGGGGGAGGGAGGTTTTCCAGCATATTTTTGTATTTTTAATCATGTGAACATTACAAATTAAAACAATAAATGAAAGTGTACCTAACAAGTCAGAGTTCTTAGAAATATGCATGAAGGAGTCTTGCTGGCAAAAGGAAGTGTTAGTTGAAGGGTAGAAGAAACAGGACTGCTCCAGCCTTCCCCTGGAGGGGAGGGGAGTGGCCAGGAGGAGGAGGAGGGTTGCACAGAAGGGCACTCGTGCCAACCAAGGGAGGGGGTTTCCACTCATGAGAGCTGCTAGGGATGAAGGGATTCCAGCTCTTCCAGCCGGAAGCTTCCCGAAACCATGATGGAACAAATGCGGGGCCAGAGAAACTGAAGTTCAGTTGAGACTTGGTGGCTTTCCCACGGCCACAGTGACCTTCACCCAATGTAAGAAGCAGAGCCATGGTCCAAAATTCTGGGGCTAATTCTGCCACTTTACGTCATGCTCTGTTTTTGACTCATTGTACAATTCGAGATGAAATCTATCACTTAATGTGAAAACTTGCTGAAGAACAAAACACATTTCATTTCGGTTTAATTAGTGTTAGTAAGTGTATTCGTTGTTGGCCTGTGCTTTCGGATTTGGCTTCAGAGGAAGGAGGATGAGCTGAATAGGCTCCTGAGTCTGAGGCAGGGCCAACTGCCAGAGAGGAAAAGGGCAGAGAAGCAGAGGCAGTCTTGGTCAACGTCACCTTTCAACCCCTGTGTACCTTCAAGTTCACCTAGAGGTAGGGAGGTGGAGAGAGGAGAGGCATTTACCACACTTGACTGCAAATACAGGTCATTTGCTTCACATGATCAGTAGAATTTTTGTTTTCTTTAAACCAGGAAGTTTTCAGAAGCAAATCCTTCATTTAACACATTATTCGATCCTCAAGTTAACCTAGCAAGATAGTTTCTATATTATATTCTTTTCTGAAATGAGAATAACAAGACTTTAAAGGTGAAGTAACTTGCTCAAAGTAATGTAGCAAGTCACGGAGCCAGTATATGCCAGAGCAGAGATTCTCCACCAGATCTGTCTGACTCAAAAGAGTGCACTCTGTTCTAGACCCCACAAACCCAAATGGCATTGTGCAAGATCTCTGCGAAATAATAATGATAACAAGCATGACAACAATTTGCTCCTGGCTTTCCTTATTCAAGTTCACATACTGTCCGCAGTCTTGAATTAGAGAAAGAACATTTTCTCCCCCTGGATATTTCTTTCCTAAGAACTGAAGAGAACAGAATGGAGAAGAGGCCAAGTAGAAATTTACAGCAGTTAATATGTACTCCTATCTAGAAGCTAAAAGCAATACTGTACATGCTAATGTTTCCCCAAACATTCAGCTTTATTAGGTTGACATCCTACTTGTATTACTGTCTTAACTGCTTCATACGAAATAAAAATTGCTTGCTTTTAAATATGTGTGCTCTCTTAAAATTTTAAAACCAGAGTTCTAAACTTGGAGATATTGAGGAAGATACATATTTTATTTTTCTGTGTGAGCTTTTATTTATTTTTTATTTTTATTTTTTAAATATGAAATTTATTGTCAAATTGGTTCCCATACAACACCCAGTGCTCATCCCAAAAGGTGCCCTCCTCAATACCCATCACCCACCCTCCCCTCTCTCCCACCCCCCCATCAACCCTCAGTTTGTTCTCAGTTTTTTTTCTTTTTTTTCAATATATGAAATTTATTGTCAAATTGGTTTCCATACGACACCCAGTGCACCAAAAGGTGCCCTCCTCAATACCCATCATCCACCCTCCCTTCCCTCCCACCCTCCATCAACCCTCAGCTTGTTCTCAGTTTTTAGGAGTCTCTTATGCTTTGGATCTCTTCCACTCTAACCTCTTTTTTTTTTTTCCTTCCCCTCCCCCATGGGTTTCTGTTAAGTTTCTCAAGGTCCACATAGGGGTAAACCATATGGTATCTGTCTTTCTCTTTGTATTGTTCACTTAGCATCACACTCTCCCAGTTCATCCATGTTTGTACAAAGGGCCGCCTTTCATTTATATTTACCCACGTAGTACTCCATTGTGTATATACTCAGAATTTCTTTATCCATTCATGGTTGGTGATGGACCTTTGGGCTCTTTCCATAATCTGGCTATTGTTGAGAGTGCTGCTATAAACATTGAGGCTAAGTGCCCCTAGCCATCGCACTAAATTGTATCCCATAAGGTAAATTCTTAGCAGTGCTATTGCTGGGGTCATAGGGTAGATCTCTTTTTGTTAATTTTTTGAACCTCCTTTTCTTTCCCAAGCTGGCCTGCACAGTTCCCACCAACAGTGCAAGAGGGTTCCGTTCTCATCCTCGCCAGCATCCCATAAACTTCTGGTTTTGTTCATTTTTAACCCTCTTTCTGGCTAAGGTGGGTATCTCAGTGTGGTTTTGATTTGTATTTCCTAGTGAGGAGGCTTGGCGTTGGCTCTTTCATGTACTTCTGTTATGGATCTTCATCTTTAGAAGTAATCTATTCATGTTTCTGCCCATTTCTTCACTGGATTGTTGTTTTAGATTGTGGAGTTTGAGGCTCTTTATGGGTTTTGGATACTATGTATTGTCTGATATGTCATTTAAATATCTTTTCCATTCAAATTAGTTGCCTTTAGTTTAGTTGATTGTTTCCTTTGCAGTGCTGAAGCTTTTCTCTTCATGAGGTCCCAATAGTTCATTTGCTCTTAATTCCCTTGCCTTTAGGGGCGGTATCAAAGTATAAGAAGTTCCTGCGGCTTCTGAGTCAGAAAGTCTTTCTACTCAGGTTTTGATGGTTTCTGTCTCTCACATTCAGGTCATCATTTGAGTTTGTTTTGTGAATGGTGTGAAAAGTGGTCTAGTTTCTCAACCTTCTGCATGTTGCTGTCCAGTTCTCCTTGCTGTTTGATTAAGAGACTATCTTTTTTTCCATTGGATGCTCTTTCCTGCTTTGTCATGGGTGTACTCGTTGTGGGTCTAGTTCTGGGGTTTCTACTATTCCGACTGGTTTATGTGTCTGTTTTTTGTACCAATACCATGCTGTCTTGATGATGACAACTTTGTAGAAGGAAGGCAAAGTCTGAGATTATGATGCCCTCCTGCTTTGGTCTTCTTTATAAAATTAAAAAAGCTTTAGCTGTTGAGACCTTTATTTGGTTCCATACAAATTTTAGGATTACTTGTTAGCTTGAGAAGAATGCTGGGTGGGTACAGTTAAGGATTGTGAATCAGCTTTGGTGAGTGACATTTTTAACGGTATTTATTCTTCAATCCATGGCATGGAGTCTTTTCCATTCTTTTATCTATCTTCTTCTTCAATTTCCATGCTAAGCTTTTTCTATAGTTTTCAGCATACCAGATCTTTTTACATCTTTGGATTTAGAGTTTATTCTAGGTATTTATAGCTTCTTGGTGCAATTGTGAATGGGATCAGTTTCTTCTATTTGTCTTTCTGTTAGCTACATTGTGTATAAATTCCCAGCTAGTTTCTATACATTAATTTTGAAGAGACAAGGTTGGGGGCTCAGAGTAAAGATAAGCTCATTTGTACTCATAGGCTGGGTCATCTGAGTTATCCTTGTCACATATACATGTATGAGCTAAATAGATTATTAAATCAAAAAGCAGGTTACAAAATAACTAGTACCATCATAATTTCTATAAATAAAAATGCTTGTAAAATGTCTGAAAAGAATTGCGCTAAAATGTTCACAGCAGTACTATCTG